GGGAAGCATACAGTGCAAGCAGCCGATTAAGCGCTCAAACACTAACAAACTGACAAGATCTTTCGCTGTCTATAGCCGGGTACCCATTCCCACCTGGATGAAGTGAGGAAAATAAGTGTAAATTGCCTTTCCCAAGGACAAAACGTCGGGCCCCTGACGGGATTCGAACCCACGACCTTACGGTTGCGAGTCCGAGTATATGTGAGGCAGCGTGATGGAATCAGGCTCTCGTCAATTTTTGGACATGTAGAGTTATTGGTATCATATTAAAGCTTATTCACTTGTCTCTATTTGGATGAAAAAAATATCCATTTATCTTAAATACACGTCGAGATACTTGCAAAAGAATGAGGTGGGGGTCACTTGTTTTCAGATGTAAAATTAGTGAGAAAATGGCCCCCAAAGATTTGTTATTTCCTTGGCTTAAGAGTCCGTGGTCACTGAAGATTTACATTTTTTATGCCTTTAATCAACGCTTTTCAGAAAAAATCCACATATAAATGAGTTCTTTAATGGGCGTGAAAGGTGTTGAGCCAAAATACAAAAATTTGATAAAAATTTACCTGCGGAAAAATGCAAGTTTCTTCACTTTAATTATTTTGACGAGAGCCTGATTCCACTACGCTGTCTCACATAATATGCTTATTAAATTGAAGTGAACACAGGGGTCAAGAACTGTAGTAGTTTTATTCACTAAGAAGGCACACACAAAAGTTTCTGCCTCCTACCTACCCCACATCTACGCTATGACTAACCCACAACTAAAGCCCTGGCTTTTACCCTATGAACTTTCCTAACTTAGTTTATTACCTCTAAGAAAGAGTCATTAAGTTTCATGTTCCTGTGGGTATGGTAACCAGAGACGCAACGAACGGACAAACAACCAAAAACAGATAGCTGACACAACAGTATCCCACTCAACTCGGGTTGGCCCTGAAAGACTACAGGGTCGAGCAGCCCGTCTCCTAAACTGTCTGTGTGGCCGTGGCCAGATCGTAGTGAAATCAGGCGCTCTTCAAAATAATGAAATCAGAGAAATTGGAATTATTTTGACCGATGGGCAATTAAAAAAAAAAAATGAATATGTGACCCAACACCTTTTATGTCCATTTAAAAACACATTTTGTGTGTTATACTGAAAACGTTGATTAAAGGCACATAAAATGTAAATTTTCAGTTTCCAGGAACTCTCAGGCTACGCAAGTTACCAAACTATGGCGGCAGTTTTCTCGCTAATTCTACCTCTGGAACCAGGCAACCCGGCGACCTCCTTCAATAGCAAATATTCCGACTTCTGCTCAACATAGATGAATAATTTTTTTCACCAAGAGGAACGCAAACGAATAGGCTCTAAGATGATGTCAATAACCTCATATGCCCAACAATTTACGAGAGCCTGATTCCACAACGTCGTGAAATATTTATATTTTCTTAACTCTCCTGTTCCAACATGTAAAGCAGTTCTGACAATACCATCCAGTCTTCTGCAACAAAATTTGACCAAAAATCTATCTGGCAATTCAGTACGACATACGCCAAAATTCAAGTGAAAAATACGCGAAATTGTAGGTTATAATATAGTGTAAGGTTATAATATAGTGTAAACGCCCCTGGCAATACTCGAAGGTTGTTTAGGAGGTAACACCAGGAACACCTTACTATCTATTGTAAATGTCATATTTTAAACACCTTTAAATGTCATATTTTAAACACCTTTAAATGTAATATTTTAAACACTTTTTAAAGAAATATTTTAAACACTTTTTAATGAAATATTTTAAACACTTTAATGAAATATTTTAAACACTTTTAAATTTAATCCTAAACACTTTAAAATTTAATGTTTTAAACGTTTCAAAATGTAATATTTTATATAAACACTTTGCCCTTTCTGGCGCTCCTGTCACATGTAAGCACTGTACTAATTTGACGGCACAATCTGTACTTGAAAGCTTCTGGGTTGACAATTCTTGTCTGACGACACAGTCCACCCACATGTGCAATACCACGAAACCACTGCTCTACTGTCGGAAGGTCAACTTACACTTACAAAGTACGACAATTATGTTTATCTATTATAATATTTATAGAGGCACCAGCTATGTGTGTGTGTGTGTGTGTGTGTGTGTGTGTGTGTGTGTGTTTGTGTGTTTGTGTGTGAGTGTGTATGTGTGTGTTTGAATGTGTGTGTGTGTGTATGTGTGTGTATGTGTGTATGTGCGTGTGTGCGTGTGTGTGTGTGTTTGTGTGTGTGTGTATGTGTGTGTATGTGTGTGTATGTGTGTGTATGTGTGTGTGTATGTGTGTGTGTGTTTGTGTGTATGTGTGTGTGTGTATGTGTGTATGTGTGCGTGAGT